AAGATGACAGTGCAGCATTCGGGGAACGAGATGCACATTCAATTATGGCCTTTTTTGTGCACCATTTTAAGAATAGATAGTTAGATATTTAGAGGGATTTGTCTCTACCACCTCAGTAATTCCACTGCGTTGCCACAGTAATGCCACTGCCTTGTGGTTTGGGGCTATAGGACTACTTTGGCGTTAGTTATCACACGTTAGGACATGTTGATTTGATTATATGGATGACATCCTCTGGGAACCCCAAAACTGATGCGCGCGTGCGAATAAAAAAGTTTTGCAAAAAAAAAGTTGCTTTCACTATGAAATCTACGTGGTCATGAAGGTTGAACAAATGGCACAGAATATGTTATGGCGAATAATCTACTATTCGAATTCATTTCTTTACATTTTTGTCTTTTTTCCTTTGATTTTGGCATTCTACGACATTGGTACCGTTTTTAAATGTTTTCCTTGCAACTTATGGTATATTTTTGCTCATTTAGCAAATATACAGTATGGTTGAAAACTTTTTTTTTTGGAAATGGCCGAAAATTCATGCGCGCGCGGATGTCATCCATATAATCAAATCAACATGGCCAGTGTCTTCAGTAATACTGATGACACTGTCCCTGACCTTCGGAATTCTGAATGCCGCCAAGACTCCTCCTGACAGTTTCTTATCTTTTTGTAGGCTTTTTACAAGACTGCTGAGGGTTGGCATGTCAGAGAAGTGAGGAGCAATGTGACGCAGATCTGCGTAGTTAAGAATACATCTTCGTGATAAGAAGTAAGCGAGTTGAATTATTCAACAAAGTATATCTATACTTGGCACATCATACTTACATTGGGGCATTTCTACTTACATTGGGGCATTCTACAGGACTATAAGATAGTATCTTCTAGACTTTAATGCCAAGATTCATTTTGGTTTAATCAGATACACAAAGTTGGGAGTCGGAAAGCGTCGCCCAGAACTTCAAACAGTTGAGAGGAAATTACTAGCTGTTCATACATCGTGTCAGGTATTCATGAATGCTGAGTTTTTCTTCCCTCTAGGCCTAAGATTTGTGAGTCCTTTGACGGTTAGCTGTTATTCATCAACTGCAATCAGTAGATAAGAGTTAATTGCAGTTGAAAAATCAATAAGTGTTCTCTCTATCTCTCTCTATTCTTCCCTGTGATGTTATGCATAAGCCTAGTTAAGACGACAATACAAAACTATGTTATTTCCACTGTTTACAGCCCTTAACAGCTAGAAGACAAGCTCCACATCTTTCAACCACCCACTTCTTTAATTGCTCAGTATAAAACTTTACATAAATAAACAGAATGATTTGCACTATCATTCATAATGTCAGCTTTTCACATTCATTCTTGGCACTATACAGAGTGCCTTAAGGGGAGACCAGCCCCAAGTACAGTAAAGCTCAGCCCACCTTTGGTAAAATTACATGCAAAACTGACGATACATTATTTACATCTGATATGAAATGTTGGACTTATTCATTTTTAAAAACCATTACAGCAAATGTATGCAAATACATTTGTATATGGTATACATAATATTGTCTCTTATGCTATCATAGAAATAGTTAAGATTAGCCTAATACTTTAGCATGTTCGTAAGTATTTCATAGATTATAATGATTTCATTCATGTCAAAATAGCTACAATATCAATCAGCTATAGTGTTATGATACCTACACCAGACACAGGTTTATAAAATTGTATTGTTACTATCATATTTCAAAAATAATCAATGAAGTCGTGACAGAATCATCTATAACATCGATATGATACAAGCAACAATTTGATCCTCTTGACTAAATATCATTTTTAGTTTCCTGCATTTGATGCTATGATTAATAATATATAGCTCCTGCCAATAACCTTCTTTGCAACTGCTGTGTTGCTCCTACAACACATGCATCAGATATGGCTTATTGTGATAACACTTTTTTTTTACAATGTTTCCTAAAATATATGCTCAATCACAGAATAACACAACTACTTAAGGCCCAACATTATAATGATTGTCTTTTTATAAGGTTCTATTTTTCACCTTATCTCGAGGTGTTCCATTCATATACATTATCTTTGGTGTTTTTTTGTTCTTTTGGCCTTCAACATTTTACTGATCTTCCAAATACTATAACCTTGTAGAGGGCATTGCCCCCTCAATGCAGTCATCTTCATACACAATCTTACTTCCAGGAGGGGGACTGGGTAAAATCTCATCATTGACATATGCTTCATTCTGATACACAACGCTGTGGTCATTAGTACTGTTGGTCCTCTTCCTAACCTGCTGGTTGGTTTTGTGAGGTTTTACAAGCCCTTGGTATTCCGAAGGCTTCAGGTCTTGGTATGTAGACTTTCTGTTATCTTCTAGAACATACTCCTCTGACATCATGGCCTGTTTGAGGGTGTTAGTTGCTCCTGACATGTCTGTGTACTGGGGACTAGAGGGTACAGGGGGGAGGTCACGCCTGCTTTTCGCGCTCTTGAACTGATTGACGGCGTTGTCAAGCTCGGTCTTGGGTACAAAGTCGGACTCAGCGTAGTGATCAATCCTGTACTCCTTCAAGTCTTCGTAGATGTGCTGGTCGAACCTCTGTCCTGGCAGCATGCTCTGGTTACCGATGTCCTGCATGATGCCGCTGTCCCGACTGCCTCGGAAGGCTTTGTTCTGGTAGCTGATCTTGGCAGTGGGGGTGGGCGGGAGCGTACGTTTCTGTTTCCTGGTGCGGACGACTGCAGCGACTATGGCAACAACGATGACGGTGATGCAAACCAGAACCACCACAATGATGATGGTGAGGGTGTTGTCATCAACCCGTGGTGCTGGCATCTGCTTGGGTGTTGTTGTCATAACACCTGTTGGGAAACAATTGATCAGTAAGCTAAAGATCAAACCGCTGAATAAAAGTAAGTTACCACTGCTGTTTCTGCCAATGGTGCTGAATAACAGTTAAATGACCATTGCTATCCTAATCCATTGTAGTAAAGAAAATACAGCCATGCTGTCTTTGCTCTCCCTGTCCTTGGTGCTGAATAAGAGTTAGTGACCACTGCTGACAGTGGTGCTGATTAACAGTAAATTGACCACTGCTGTCCTTGTGGATTGTTATTGTTACACAAATACCCAATGTTATTGCCCAGCAATGTACATGTTCCCACCTTGGATGGACATGGCAAAGCCATTCCTGTGTGCGGCCAGGTCTCCCATTCGGCCTGTACTTAGCTGGTCCTCCATTTCCTGCCTCATGGTGTTCACATCTGGTCGGGTCTCATTGGCCAGAATGGAGTGTTTGGCTGTGAAGTCTACAATCACACTGCCAGACCTGCATAGGGAAAGGAATGGTATTGATGACATCTATTTCAGGACACGGTGTTAGTGTTATTTCTGCTGACTTATGCTGTAACCAGGACTTTTCAAAGAAAACAAGAGCGATCCCTCAGTCTTTTGTTTTGATGGCTCATATTCTTCTCTGGCAAGAGAAAGTTTAAAATTTCTGACAGTAGTTTTGCCCTGGAGCTGAATGAAAGGAACACCTACCTGACATCAGTGATCTGAGTAACATCCATCTCCCCAGGAAGGCCTGTGGCCTGGAACATCTTCTGGAACTGTACAAGACATGGAATCAGTCAGGCATTTCTCTTGCAATTGTCCTTACAATTCAGCAAAAAAATCAGGAATTGGCCTTAGAATTCAGCAAAATAAGAAGACAGGAATGTAATGCATTAAAGAATCTGATTTACGTTTCTTTTGAAGTTGTCTTCAAATGCTTGGGTACGCAGGTCATCAGTGTAAACCAGGTTGAGTTTTACAGTGGTATCGTAGAGTTCATATGCTGTAATAAAGTTATGACATGTTAGTGAACAAAAATATTCTGGACTGAAGGAAGTTTTTTGTGCTAATCCCCTAACAAAAGTGCCAATTTCTTGTTGTACTCATAAGAAAAACAAGTGATGTGTGTGTAGACACTTATCAAAGCTTAAAGAGTTGGGAATAAACCAGACACATAATATTGTAACTTGATGATGAACAAATAATTATATATCAAGTAATCTGAAAGCTGATAGGCAGCATTTGGTATGCTGACATATCATATCAGCAGTAGAGAGTGTTGTACCTCTGTTGCAGGTCATTCCTTCAAGCTTCACTGCACAGCGGCAAACAAAGTCAGAACCTCGTGTCTCACAGTGGCCTCCGTGTAGGCAGGGGTTGGGGTCACATGGAGTGGGCGCTGGTGTTGTTCCCAGGTAGCGGCAGTTGGCGTCCATCTTTGCTGGCTCTGTGCACCTGCAGGTGTACCCACCTGACTCCAACTGGCAGGTACCACCATTGATACAAGGTGTGCTTGCACAGTAGTCCATTGTCTCACAGAACTCCCCATTAAACCCAGAGGGGCAGTCACACAGGTAGCCGGTACCATTGTTGACACAGGTGCCATTGTTCCGGCAGGGAGGGGCCTGCTTTTGGGCAACAGCACACGGCAACAACTCCTCACAGTTCTCTCCCTGAGTGTCGGGTGATTGGCACACGCACTCGTACCCTCTACTATTGTCGGCAGCTTGGCATGTACCATTGTTAAGGCAAGGCGACTGGCCTTCCACGCAAGGATTGTTGTAGACCTGGCATTGTGAGCCAATATACAAAGGTGGGCAGGAACACTGGAATCCGCCCGGGTAACTTGTGCATGTACCGTTGTTATAGCATGGATTTGAGTCACAAGGGAGGACAGAAAGTGAGCAGTTTGTCCCTCCAAACCCTGTAGGACACGTGCAGGTATAGCCATCCCTCAGGTTCAAGCAGGTGCCACCATTCTGACATGGGTTGTTGCCACAGAAAGGGGTCTCATATTCGCAGACTTCATTCATGATACTAGGCTCAGTACACGAACAGACAAAGTTGTTGGAATCTGATACACAAGCGCCTCCGTTTTTGCATGGAGATTTCTCACAAGGATCAACTACTTCATCACAGTTCTTGCCAGTGTATCCCTCAGAACAGTTACAAGTGTAGCCATTAATGCCGTCTGTGCACACTCCGTAAGTGCAGGGGGAGGAACTGCACTCGTTGATGTTGACGTCACAGTTCTGCCCTGTCCACCCTGCGGGACACACACATTGGTACGACCCTCGGGTGTCTTGACACTCTCGACCGTTGCACAAAACTGGGTTCAGGCATTCGTTGGTGTCTGAAAATGGAGACAACATACAAGTCAGACTTGCCACTTTTCAGGAAACAATGTAGCCACAAGTACTAAACATCTTGTCCACAAACATACACAAATCAGTGTTTTACGTCAGTGCATGCAAATTAGTTAATGTTACCAGCATTTACAAATGAGGGTCAGGAAACAGTTTGGCTTCAAAAGGTTTTAAGATGTTTTTTGAGACTTATAAAGAGGTCATGTAATGGCTAAGACAAGACACTGCTTACCTTGACACCAGGACGGGGTTCTTGGCTGCAGGTCTCCATGTAGAACCCCAGCAGGGCGGAAGTCTCCCCAGGCCAGGACTGTTCCATCGGTCCTGTCCACACAGGTGGTGGCCAGGACCTCTACATCTCCTGCTGACACCTTGTCATCATACAGGTTCAGCCGGGACAGCTCACCCAGGTACGCCTCGCGGGGGTGGAAGCTCCCTCCCAGACTGTCCTGGTCCTGACCTAATGAAAGGAGCCATGAAATGGTTTTTATTATTGTTTCCTTATATTATACTTTATTCAGAAAATAATGTCATGCAATGTTAGCATTAGATCACACTATTATTTGTTCTTGCACAAAGGTCTATGAACTATGCAGTGACTAGCAACATGTCTGATATAGCAATCAGTCTCTGAGCAGATAATTGGAAGCTGTTCAACTCTCTGATGAAGCATACATGTACCAATTAATGCGCAGTACAAGTTTCCACCAGCTGCATGTTGATTAGAATCAAATACCTTCAACCTATTAATATGTATTTCTGTCTTACATGGCTTTGTCATCATTTGTTCCTCAGTGACATATTTAAGATTTTGCCTTTATTGGAGTAATAACTTGATTAAAATTAGACATGGCACTTTGTCCCTATTATAAGACTATTATCGTGGATCTTTCACAACCATGGTAGCACAGATCTTTCAAAACCATGGCAGCACAGATCTTTCACAACCATGGTAGCACAGATCTTTCAAAACCATGGAATCACAGGTATTTCAAAACCATGGCAACACAGATCTTTTAAACCCATGGAATCTTCACTTACCAAGAACAACAACTCCCCCTCCCATGACCTGGGTCCCGGTGGCCAGTCCAGTCCCACTGTTCTGTAAGTTTCCGTCCAGGTAAAACTCCCAGCTGCCGTCAGCGCTAACCCAGGACACACACACATGGTGCCACAGGCCATCGTTCACTGCTGAGTTCAGAAGTACCTCCTCACCATTCACAAACAACTGGAACAGATGCAATAAACAAAGGTTAAAACCTTCTTCATGTTCACTGTGTTCTTTTATCAATTTTTAATGTATCCTATATATTGCTGTTTATTAAAGGAAAATTTAATGCATTGATGGTAACAGAGCTTGCTGATTTTTGCAGGATTTTCAAAGAATCATTCAATCTGTTGATGAGGCCCACTGAGACATAATCAACACTTTCTGATGTCATATTACACATTTTTTTGTTGCAAAAAGTCAAAATGCCTTCAGGAGAAATAAAGATTAACGGATATAGAAATTGACATACCGTGAGGTGAGCTGGGTCGCTCAGTGTGAGAGTGTTATCCCTGTTGAGGAAGTTACTCTCTGCAGCGTAGGAGAAGATGGTGCCAGTGTTGATAGTGTCTGAGGTCCTGAGCCATGTACACAGCGTGAACTGGGGCAGGTTGTGTAGGAACTCAGGCCTGAACATCGCATAGTCAGCTGTGGTTGTCTTTGTGAACACCAGGTCAAAGTCAGCTGAGTTTTCTGGAATGTTCAAGATATTACAAGTTAGTTTTTTATGGAAGTTCATCTGTGTTGGTATTTTGTCCATTTTCTAGAGAAGTATTTGTTTCCAAAATCTGTTTGAGGGAATTACTGAAGTGTTGTTCTTAGAAAGAATCAAAATGGAATGAAGGAAATAATATCAATGGTGTTTTACAATGTTGAAATTGATTACATGACTTACACCTTCACTATTGCTCTACTTCATAAGGGATAGGTCACTTGCTTCAGAGTTAATTAATTAATTTTACAAGTCAAGAATGATAGAAAAAGATCAGTGACAGATAGAAAGCATGTGACATTTTCATATCAAGATGGTTACTTTCATTAATTTAATTACTTTGGCAGTATCTTATTTAATTTCAACAATGGTTGTTAAGACAACAGCAACTCCTTACCTTGCTGACATGTTTTACCAGAGAAGGATGGGAAACAATCACACACAAAGTCGTTCAGCCTGTCATAACAAGTGCCTCCATTCTGACAGGTCACACCCTGACAGTCATCAATGTCAACCTCACAGTGTGTTCCTGGCAAAGAAAAAAGTATGAATGTAAGTATAAGAAATGCCATTCCTTTACATCATCATATCTGGCCATGATGATATCTTAACATGTGAGATTAATGTAATTGGCCCCTTGATGGCTTGTTGTGGTACTGCAGCTGAACTTCTGGTTTTGATATCTCGTGATCTAGACATGCTAGCGTCACGAATTTTGGATGGTAGGTAGCTCTGGGGCTAGGGAAGAAGGAACATGAGTTTGTGACATGATATAAATGTACTGAAGCTGTCATCCAAGTGTCCAAGCCCTCAAAATGTCTTAAGTATTCTGAAAAAATTGAGAGGTTTATGGCATGATATCTTTTTTTGACAATGCATTAAAATATCTTCAAGGACTGAAAAGCAGACTGTTCCTCACCTGCCCAGCCGTCCACACAGGAGCAGTTGTAGCCGTTGACCTGGTCGTTACAGGTTCCACCATTCAGACATGGCTGGGACTGGCACTCATCTATCTCCATGTCACAATGGTCCCCTGAGAACAGAGAGTGGGAAAAATGGGTCACTTCAGGAGCTAGAAGGATGACTTGGTATGCATTTAAGTGACTTCAGCCTCAGGACTGTAGAGACATGGGTTAACTCAACACCATTTTTCACAATGTCAGTATGTCTATTTTTCATTGGGGACTTCAAATAAAGAATGTGGTACATATTGTGCAACCTATTGCTTAACTACCACTCAGCAACCAAAGCTATCAAATTGCTTTTGTACTTTTGCGCAATCAATTTTTCTTAAATTTAATTTTCTTTTCTTGTTTGCCAATACATAGTATGCCTGTCCAATTATTGGTGTGTGATGTGATGTTGTATTCCTTAAAGCATCACATACAACAATATTTAATACAAGCTTGTGGATCACGATTATCCACGACTATCAGGATTCAATGTTGTTAGTTTTACCTGCAAACCCAGGTGGACATTCACAGCTGTACCCATCCACCTCATCCACACAGCTGGCCCCGCTGAGACATGGGGAGGAGGCACACTCGTCGATCTCCTCCTGACAGGAGTGTCCGGTGTACCCGGGGAGGCAGTAGCACTGGTAGGTGTTGAAGAGATCGATACAGGTGCCTCCATGTTGGCAGGGAGAGGAGGCACACTCATTCACTTCCATCTGACAGGTGTCACCTGAAGCAGACAGGAGGGGAATTTTCATTATAGGGACCAAGATTTTATGGTACAATGTATGTTATCTTGATGTGTCAAAGGCCCCGTTCCCACTAGGGTAAGATTGTCCAGATCAAGCCAAATTGATTAGCTTTGATCTGGCTTTGAGCTGGATACCCGGCTTCAATCCGGCTCAACCAAGTCAAAGCCGGATCAAAGCAAATCAGTTCAGCTCGATCCAGACAATTTTACTCAAGTGGGAATGGAGCCAAAGTGTTTGAAAAATATACAGCGCAAGACAATCTTAAAGCTTGTTTCATTGAAACATTTGAGCTACTTTCCAATCGGAATGTATTGGTAAAGTTTATTGAAGATTTGCTTCAGTCTATGAACCATCTGTTGAGAGATGGCAAAGTTCAGTCTCTATACACCCATTGCTGATTTTGCATTCTCAGAACACTGGTATAATATCTCATATCTGACTTTACACCATGCACAGCCAAAACATATCCATACAGAACTAGATCTTAACACCTTCCTGGCAAAATCAATCCTTCCACATCGCTGAGTTAAAGGCCACCTATCAATTGGTAGGGAATCTTTGGTCCTTCCTTTGACATTTGCTCTCATGACACCAAATTGATAGCAGGAAAGTGGGCGACCAATTCTTCATCAGTGACTTTTGGGTGGCCTGTGTGTACTGCATGGCACAGCTCATTAATACACAATCAGTGTCTCTCTCTCAGGATCGATAATACTTCACAGTCTACACTGAAGGAATAGCATGTACCTGTATTGTACCATGTACAAAACCTTGACTTGGTCCCAAAAATAATCACTCAACTCATTCATTACGTAGAAACTGAGCCAGGAGGATGAAAATCCAATCTCTGACACAAAAGCTGATTGTGCTTCTAAAGATTGGGATCAATGTTTGACTTAGTCCAAATATAAGGGCAAGGCCATCATTTACATATGGTGGTTGTTCCCTTTAAGTCAATGGACTAAGACAGAATGGAAAACAAAACTTTGGGTTTCTTTTAAACACTATCTAAGAAGCATAATACCAAATAATGTGGTTCTCATTGATGACTTTAAGAAGCTATTGTTGAGAAATGATAGAAATCAAGAGATTGATAACATTAAGTTTTATTCCCTCTATTGTCTTCTCATTCATAACACTTTTGAACCTATTTTGATTTAGCTCCAGTAGTTGTGATTCTCTGTTACTGTTGTGTATGTAGTCAATAAATGCCTTAAAAAAAGCATCACTCACCTGCATAGCCAGACACACAAGTGCAGTTGAAGCCATTAACTAGATCCTGGCACGTTCCATTGTTGTTGCAGGGGTTGGAGGCACAGTCATCCAGGTCCTGCTCACAGTTTGTCCCATTGTATCCCGGAGTACAGTGGCACTGGTAACCCCCTACAAGGTCCTCACAAGTGGCTCCATTCTGGCACGGGTCGGAATGACAGTTGTCATTCACTGTGAACAGACAAGGAATCATCAATCATTCTGCAGGTTAGAATTTTAGAAATAACGTATGTCACATTTACAGTTCCTTTGTGCAACTGTCCTTGGTACTGAAACTTTGGATCATGTGAATTAACCCCAAATTTGTTGCCTTTGCTGGCACAAGATTTCTAAGGCATGAAGGCACTCTAAACTGTATGTGTTTGTAGCTAGAATATTTCTGTTTAGATCCATGTGTTTTGAGCTGTAGCACCATGAAGTCAACCCTGCCCCAAAACGTTATCTAACCTAAGTTATACATTGAACTACATGTACATGAACATCATGCCTTAGCACCATGTTTTACTAAGGAAAACCACACTGATTGTTTGTACAGCTGAACTATCCCATTGCATGTACTTTACATTCAAAAAGGCATCCTATCTATATTTACTGTAGTCTGATGGCATTTCAGCACCAAGGAAAGGTCCATCACAAAAGAAGTATTTGATCCCCACAAGTCTTACCAAAGCAGGCAGTAGGACTGGATGCTCCTAGGAAGAAAGTTTCCTGTGTCCCTGGGCAGTCCACACAGCTCCTGCGGCCAGGGTTGGGGTTGTAGGTGTTCAGGGGACACGGCTCACATGGCTGGAGACCCGTGGGCGAGAAGTGACCAGCCAGACAATGACCTGTGAAGTATCACTCTGTGGTTAACACATGACTCTACAACAGGCATTTCACCCTAGATCAGGAAATACTCTTTATGTTATTGATCTTCATTTTATTACACAACCCATATTATGGTCAATAAATATGAAAAAATATTCTTGTGCTGATCTCCTTTGCATTGAGGTAACTGAACAAAGACAATGAAAGAAAATTCTTTAGAAAGAAAATTACTGATACATGTATTGTCTAGGGCATTAAATGTATTCATGAGTGAGCATCATTAGGATATGGCCTATAAAGTGGTATTTGATGACTTACTAAAGCATTGGTCAGGAGATGTGGAGTTCATGCTAACTGTGGACTTGTCGTCAGGACAGGCGAGGCATGTGGTGGCATTTCTGTCAGGCTGGTAGAAGCCAATGTCACATGGACTACAGTCCTCCAGACCTGTGTCTGAGAACGTCCCAGGCTGGCAGAATCCTGCAACACATTAACAACATACATGTAGTATTCACACTAAAATTTGGTGACAATGCTTACAAAAATGGAAAAAGTGCTGCTTCAAACTTTATTTTGTATGTACAAAGTAATACTTGATTCAAGATTCAAGATCTTTATTGAACTTTTGCCGTGGCCAACTTTTGGTTAGTTCAATTGAAATATAGTACTGCTCATTGAAACTTGAAATATAGTACTGCTCATAAAACTACAATATCGTAAAACTGCAACATTTAAAAACACCAGATCCAATTTTTCTTTCCTGGTGTAACATTTGTTATTTAGAAAACAAAGTAGCAAAGATTTAGAATGAACAGATAATCCCTGTCACCACTTAATATTTGGATATTAAGTGTTTCTCCAAAGCATCAACAAAGTAACTCGTATACATGTAAGTGACTTTTATTTTGTTATGAAGTGTAATTCAGATTGATAAATGGATGCATTTCTATTCAGTACACACCCTTGCAGTCAGTAGAATTCTTGGATCCCTCAGACAAGGTTGATGAGCCAACTGGACATTGTTTACACTGGGTCTGTGTCTCCTCATCCTGGTACCAGCCTACTGCACAGGGAACACAAGCTGTGCCATTCCCATACATACCCACTGGGCAGTTCACTGGAAAAAAAAAATATTGACTTAGCAAACCACTTAAGAAAGCATTATTAAACATCGGCTATTACAGAATTATATATGCATGAAAAGCAATCCATAGCCCATATTATCTTCAGCCTCTATTTCCCCAAATGGAGTAAAGGTAGTTTGAAGAGATGGCATCAGCTTATGCCGTCTTCTAGTTCGATGCAAAAATACATTTGGCTAGATGAATGAAATTTGTATAAATGATAGGGCACGCCATAAACTTTTATTGCTCTTCATGCTGGGTCAGGACGTTTTAGGCTATTGAGATGACAGGGTTGTATTATAATGGTATATTTTACATCAAGACTGAAAAATATCCTGATACATGATGACTCTGGAGTTGACAGGTTTTATGTCAATGTTTAATGTAACAATTTACAATTATCAATAGATTTACTTACCACATGATGCTCCATATGACTCTATCTTTGCCAGTTGTCCAGGGGCACAATTCAGCTCAAACTCTGCCAAGAAACCAGTGTAATGCAGGGACTCCAGGGTCTCATTCCCTAATGGTAAGTCTAACGTCTTGTTATCCACCTTATGACCTATCTCAAAGTAAAAGTCATCCAATGCAGTGGTGATGGCTACTTGGTCCTCCTGTGAGACATCCCCTCCATCCCCATACACAGCCACAATGACAAAGAAGATCTTGAAGTTTGGCTGCTGGGTCTGTCTCTTCACAACACTGTGGTCTTCTGCTCTTGTTCTTGTTCTCTCATCACTGACGTCCCTTCTTCTTCTTAGAGTAATTCCACATTCCACCTAAACAGAACGACAAACCTCATATTAAATATTTGCTGAAGTCGTAATTCTGGAAACTCAATCTGTCTATCCTCTGGCCCTATTAATATTTAGCTGTATCTTGTATGTATGATTATGCATTAATCTTCCATTAATTGTCCAAGTTAAAGAACAAAAAAAATCTTACATCAAATTCTATAATTAATCATAAGTGGACATTCTATCTAACCTTAATTTCTGGGATAATGTAATGAAAACATCACACAAAGCTCAGTAAGAATTAGGAAGACTTACCTCAATATCAGTCACATTACAGCTGATAGCAGGGTTGACAGCACTGCAGTCACTACTCTGTAGTGTATTGTACAGTTGGAGGAACCCTTGTTTGATCTCTTCAATGTTTTCAGCACAGTTACCATGGTAGTAGTACAGGTCATTCTTCTGGGTGGCCCTTCCCGGTCGCACTCGGCCTGTAACAGCAAATGTCAGTTGATTCCACTTTTTTTTAAATCAAGAGTCAACTTCAGCAGAAACGGTACAACAACTAGAGACATCTTCATCACAATATGCATGAATCAACTCACCTGAACAGTCTGGCCAAGGAAATGGTGATCCATGCCAGTTTCCACTGTAGTCACAAGTGTAAGCATCTGCTGGGCTCGTAGCAAAGTCATACCTACATGTAGTGAAGAGGATCAACACAACTTAACATTACACCTTACCACATTTTGCAATCATGTTTAATTTAATACTAGTAGTACATTCACACTTACTAAATATGAAAATTAAATCTTCCATTGCATGCATTCTTTTCCCTGTTCAAGCTTGATACATCTTTAGAACAGCCCAAATACATACGCCCTGATTCTTTAATTCATACCTAACTGTCACATATTGAACTTTTTGAACTGACTGTCATACCTGTTATTACACCGGACTGTGCAGTACCGCTGAAAGTTTGGAATGGAGCCACAAACTGCTACCCCATTCCGAGGAGGGTCAGGAACCTCACAGGCTGGAGCTGGAAGTATAGGTTTTAAAGCAATATTACAACATTATCTTTTTTTATTCCATCGAGAATGATATATTCAGCTTTGCAGATTTTTTTTTTTGCTATCAAAAATACCAAACATGTTCTTATCATTGTCATAATGACTTTTGATGATTAAAGTAGTTCTCCATTGTGGTAAGTCTCAGAACAACCAAGCAGTACTTACGGAGGAGAGTGATGATGAATTTACAGCGATTGTTGCGTGGGAAGTTTTGTGCCCAACAGTAGACGTTGTGAGACCCCAGACTGACAGCCTGACCCTTGTTAGCAGTGCACTCCACTGGGACTGACTGATTGTTGTCATCCACATACACAGGGTCTGTCCAGTCCAGGACATGGCCGGAAGCTGACTGGACTGTAACTTCCATGTTGTCAGGACAGGAGAGCAGGGTGGGTGGCTTGTCATCTGTGAAGGGAGTAAGATCAAGGCTCATTTGTCAGAGGTAAAACTGTTGAGTACACCTTGGTAGAGTCGAGAGCTGAACAATCTTTAAAACACATTCCTAAGATGGATTTAGAATATTAAAACAAGGGAAAATTGTTAAACTTCTGAGCATTTGAGTAAGCTAGATATTGATGTATCTTTTGCAAAGTACTGCTTAACACAAAGACGTTACTAGTGATAAATCTGAGTAGACTTACTCTCCACACGGATGTGACGTTGACACTGTGATGTCAGGCCATACGTATCAGTAGCGCTGTAGAACAGGACGTGCACCCCAACATCAAAGTGGTGTGGGTTGGGGTGGTTGGGATGAACCGTGTAGCTGGGCACTGTGCCGTCGTTGTCTGTTAAAGCAGTCGGACGTACCACCCAGTGGAGAAGGGTGGAGTTCATCCCAGGGTCAGAGTAGGTCAGGATGTCTGGAGGGCACACAAGTGTCGGGGGCTGGACGTCTGGGAGAAAAAACAAGACCTTGCATCTTAGTATTGTTTGATGGTTTGTCTTGTAATGCAAAGTCCACACACACACACACACACACACACACACTCACACACACACACACAAACACATTACAGGTAAAAATGATCTGAAAATGTTCATAATTGCACTTTAAGTCTGAGATGAAATATTGACCTGTGCAGGTGAGTGTGCTGCCATGGTGGCTCCACCTGTCTCCAGTTCCACAGGTTTGTACAGCTGCGCCCCCTCTCAGCTCGAACCCTTCACTGCAGGTGACGTTACACTGAGTTCCGTGAGGATGTTTCCTGTAGCCACATTCTGGGGGAGACACGCTCGCAAAGGCAGGGACCTCCAGGTTGGGGCATTCCACAGCTACAGATAAAAGACAGTCACTCATGTAAGTGCAGTCATGAAAAAACACAGTCAAGTAAGGTACACACTTCATCGTGATGATAAAAGAACAAAATTCAGCTTACCACAGCTCATCCATTTTTGCGATAATCTAATCATAGCTTAGCAGAATACATATTTACAATGTGCATTTAATGCAACCTCCAAAGAACTAGATATTAATAATAAAGAAAGCTTACATTTGCAATAAGTGGTGGCCCTTGCTCCACTCCACAATCCATTTGCCAGACAGGTCCTGGCTGTATCAAAGATAGGAGTCCTCCCTGCATTGCACTTAATCTCCAGGGTAGATTTGTAGGTGTAAGGACCACTGGCACTGTGGTTGTACACCATTGTGCTGTCACTCACATTGGGGTATGGTCCACAGGTCACAACTAGGAAGGACATGGCACAGTGTCACTGTGTTACAATTTTTACAACCAAACTATTTCTTTAAAAGGTTAGGAACATAAGGGTACTAGAACTAAAATTTGATTAATAACTATATCTGTAGCCCATTATATACATAATATACATGTAACTTTATAGGTGTAATGAAATATTTTGAAGCAATTGTCAACTTCTAAGTAGATAAATTTTCCCCCACACACTAGACAATGAAAACCAAATTCTAGGCAAAGACACAAACAGGAAAGAGACAGCTTTCTACCTTATTATCTGGCCTACCTTTCTTGAGGACTTCAGAGGAGAGAGTATGCAGAAGAATGATGAAAGAGAAAGGACAGACCTTTACGATCAAGGGGACACAAGACAGAAGGACATTCAAAAATTACACTCTCAACAGACAATTTACCTACCAAAATTGATAAAATTCCTCAAGAACAAAGTAGACATCATTTAAATGGTAACAATTACATATACATAGTCACAGTAGAGTTTTTCATTATCAATCATGATTTTCTTACCATTGCAGGTTGGTAGGGTGCCTTCCCACACAAAAGAGGTGTTGCAGTAGAGACTGTGTTCACCAGATGCCCTGTAGCCGGTATCACACCTGATGTAACAGGTGTCTCCGGGAGTGTTCTTACATGGCTGCATGCCGACCACATTGTAATTCACATCTCCTATGACTCTACCATTCACATGGACCATGGAGGCATGCTGGATTGCTGGCAGTGTGGGACAGCTCCTAACTGAAAAGTGAAAGATTGTGGTAAGTTAAGATTGACACACCATAATCAAGTGCACTTGCTATACTGATTTGTGAATAAAAGGCATTGAAGTATACATGGGCACAGCAGAGCTAACTTATTAACATTAATTTACAAATTTTCAAATCTTTTATATCTACTGTATTTGTTATTAAAAGTATATAACTGTCTGCCTCAGCACTTTTGATCACCGTTTTCTTCTTGCTTTCATTTTATGAAATATTCCTTTGGCCCCAACTATGCCTTTCTGTTATTTCTCGTACTGCCCAAATTATCCCAATTTGTTGCTAATTTTGTTAAAAATAGGAGTGTCTGATCCCTTTCTACCAATTTAAAGGCTATTTATGGGAACCAAAACACATAGGCTTTAGTGTGTTATCTTGATTTCATGGTTAATTTGTTCTCACTTGTTTTCTACTTGGGTGTGAAAATACTTCCAGCTGAGCCTAGCACTTCAGAGTTGACACAGGAAAGCTACCATATGGCTTTTATCAAAACTTGACTCGGTACATTGGAATCAAGGCCTTCTAAGTAGGTATGTCAGGTAAGTGATCTCCTAGCTTCAAACGAATACATAGAAGTACTGGGATTCTGTAGATGCTGGTTACCAGGCTCGGTTTCAAAGCATTCAAAAGTGATTCATAATTGTAAAGTGTTCCTTTCAAATGCTTCAGAGTCTGTACATTCTTCTCTACTCACTCAATTTTAAGAAAAAATTGGACCATGGCATTGATGCCTTTTAATTCTATTTTTGCTTACGAGGCTTTCCTTTTGGCTTAAGGTTAATTGTAAATGGTTTGATTCACTTTTCTTGAGGTAAAAGTCTGCTCAAGCAAAATAGTTATCATATCATAGTTATCATTATAATTATGCTATGATACTAAATGTGTTCTGATGCTATCTCACCAGCACATGTCCCGTTCCTTTCCTCCGTCCCCTCGCTGCAGACACAATGGTCCCGGCTGGTGGCTCCTGTACCCATGGTGGTCGTCCCCTCTGGACAGGTGGTACATTCCGTAGGGCTCAGGGTGTCCTTGTAGGTACCCACAGGGCATGCTATGCAAGTGGGAAATAGTGTTACACTTAAAAAAACATCAATTTGAGTGATATTCAAGCACTTGCTGAAGAAATTCTTGAAAGTAGTTTAGCCCAACATTCTTGAATTTCAGTCATTTTCTTAACTACTTCCTTTAATCAGGCTACCACAGGAATGTGAGAAATGCTATCACATAAGGCACCTGTCATAGGAACTATCAGCTTCCTGTGGTAAAATGCTGGACACCTGATTCACCAAACAAACACAAACTCTGTAAGCTGTCAGGTAGGTCTGTTCATGTTGTGTCACCTATCATCTATGTTGATACTCTACCACAGCATCCATTCTCTGGCTACAATACAATTAGGGAAGGGACTTTTCTATAGTAACCTCAGACCACATCCTTCCATACCTGGTCTGCTCCTGTCTTAATGATTACCGGTAACACCTGGGATTTCCTACCTTTGTCTACTTCCTCCTTTTTTCACTCCACATACGTGTAGTACTGACTCACTAAGATCATATCTCAGCAATTATATATAATAATCTCTCTTATGACCCTTGATATTGAGAATGTTGAGATCATTTTTCTCTCTTCATCAACATATTCTTTCATGTCCTGAGGTGCATGTATTCTTGTGAGGGCAGGCTATTGATGAAAGTGGGCTACAGTATACTAATACTTTAAAGCTTATTGATAGATCAGCCACTCTGTTTGCTGTACTGTTCTTTCTATGGAAACAATCTGTAACTAAAGACAAATCAAACTCTACTACTTGATAAATAACCGAGATAACATCTGGATGTTTTGAGTGACTCTATCCGTAATCTATAAGTATAACTTAGAGAAAAAGTGAGGATTTCATACCTGTACAGAGGTGTCCATCTCCCCCATACCCCTCCTCACAGGAGCAGGTGGCATAGCCAGACTTGGATGGGCAGGAGCAGGTAGAGTGGGAGCCACAGTGGTAGTCACAATAGGACCTGTCTGTCACTGACCAGAACTCCTCTTGCTGGTCTGGAAAACAACAAAGACAAGCATGTACATTGTGTAAGAACACCTACATATTGGTAGCACATGTAAGGACACCTACATATAACAATAGCTCATGTAAAACACATACCATGTTCATTATTGTACATGTGTACATATGAGTTGCAGAAAATATTGACTGTGATTTTATCTCATGTCATGCCTAGAACAACAGGTGGCATACTTGGGTATAAGAACTTTTTTGCTAGTACAATAGAGCAATATTATATCTCAAATAATCTAATATGACTATGTGGCATGACTATGCCCAATATATTTAGTCAAAATTAATTATTCAGGTGGAGTCATCACTTCTCAGAATACAGCAGTTGCTTAGTGAGCAACAAAATGGCAACAAACTGTTTCACCAGGGGACTGGTGAACAGGACATGTCAGACAATGGGCAGGTACAATTTGTGTCGTATCTCTGTGAATCTATTTTGGGATCCACGATCTTATGTTGATGGTAAAGCAACATGGAGACATCGCAGTATATTTACAGTGGAAGCTTTTTGTCTTTTTTAAGTCATGCCTCAATCACTCTTTTGACATTAGTTTCTTTCCAAGAATCCAACAAGAAAAAAAGCCGACTAGGATGCTCAATTATTTGGCGATCGCCTTGAATTTTCTTCATAACTGCAACTTCGGACAATATCAAGCATTGCTGTTCTCATGGACACTTAAATTGTCTTGATGTAAGGATGTGTTTGGGACAGCACACATCTTGTATGGCTTATTTAGTGGAATTCTCTATACAGTATACCGGTGCAATAGCTCAATTGGTAGAGTGCTCGCTTTGTAGCCGGGAGGTCGTGAGTTCAAACCCCGGCCGGGTCATACCAAAGACTTTAAAAATGGTACACACTTCTTTCTCTGCTTAGCACTCAGCACATATGAGAAAGAGTGTGGGAAGGTCAAACACACAGCACTACCAGCGGACCAGCCCCCTGCTGTAGTGCATTGCACAACATTGTGTGTCGCCCAAGGGCTACGAAATGGAGATGGGCACCACCCTACGCTCGGACAAGAGCACGGGAGACCTTCTTCTTCTTCTATACAGTATATGATACAGTAATACTTAATGAGCTTCCTGACAAACACACAACAAAACATCACAGTTGTTTACAAAATGTTGATGTTGAAATCTGAAATGTGGGAATGCAGGTTGTTGTGCCGCTCACATAAATAATCAATGCCCTTATATGGATACAGGTGCCCAAACACAGGCAAGAGCATGACCTCACTCTTTTGAACGTACTCCGTCCGGAAGGAAAGTATTTGCATGACAAAAGCTGACCTATGACGCTTTTGTCTGATATCCGTCTGTGCCAGGCAGGACCAGGAAGGTTGAACAATCCGATAGAAACTCAAATGATTTTAGTTCCTCTTTTTTACGTATTTACTAAGCAGATATACCACTAACTGTTTCTATGACAAGTACATTGTAAAACATTTCCTTCTTTGCTGAATGTCTGGATAGACAAGCTTTTATGTTATCAAAATTATAATCTGTGTCAGTCCTACGGAAAAACTCAACAGTCACAAAATTTGATATCAAACCTTTCTTTATGATGATTCAGTAAACATTTTGGTTAACTGTTATCTTAAATCATGTCACAAACATGGTTATGAAACTTACAAATCTGAAACAACTTGTTGTAATATAACAGATGGAAGTCCAGCATGTACTTCAGAGCTCAACGACATGTTAGGATCAAGAGATACCAGTCTCTGTTTGTTTTGTTCCCACCACTTGCGTCAGGTGTGTCATACACCCAACAGTGTCTGCATCTTTTCCTGTATGTTCCTGACCGGTCTACCTGGCAAGTAGAACCCTGGGATGCTCTCTAAACATCGTGCCATGTAATCCTACGGGTCTTTTTGAGTCACCTCCTCAATAATGCATGATGGTATCAAGTCTAACTGTGTCATCGGATACAGCTGGTATTTGCACTATGTGTTGGCTAAACTCAATTGGAAGGGCCAATGTAACTGCCAGGGGACAAAATAGTGCTTTTAAAATTCTTGGTTCAACAGTTTGCACGTTTCAGCAGAATGTGAAATGAAGGAGTCAGTTAAACTCTGAAGTAGCTAGCATCATTCATATACTAGTACTCTGTCATAACTAATGTCCAATTTCTGCTTGTCTGTCTATTTACACTTTTAAGTCCAAATTAGGGGAAGGAAAAGATTTATATTCCTCTCTCAGCCTTTTCCATTAATTCCCCACAGTAATCTCACAACATCCTATAAATGACACATGGGATGTTTGCGTGTGAGTCAAATCCAGGCTTTTCCTGCACGAAACAAGTCAGCATTTTTACTCAGCAAGCTCAATATGTAACGTTATAGAGTTATCTTGAAAAAAAACTATAATAAAATTATTTTAAATGTTTATCTACTTTCTTTCTACTGAATTTGTACTGATGACAAGCACTGTGGTTGACAAGCCTAATTTTAGCAATTTGGGACTATTTGGGATAATCCACACTAAGCTATAACAATTAAGGCTTAGCTATGATTGAAAATTTTAGGCTTAACTGAAATGAACTGAAATTGAAAAACAAAATGAGAATACCTGACTGCCTCATTGTTTAGCCAAAATTGATAGAATCTGTTGAATTTTTTTCTGTTGAAAAATGTTAAGGACAAGCCATTTCTCTCTCCATTTTTGGTGATCAGAAGGCTACAAAATCACAGTATGTGGCTTCAAACAAGGACAAAACCTGTCTTCTGTAAGTAATAACCTGAGTGCAGAGGACAATGGTGTCTTGCCCTGATGTCACCAGAGTACTGTATAGCTGCTCCTGAGACTGACACTACCCCCTAGGTTTGAGAATGGTCTAAATCTGACCCAGGAGGCATCCAGGCTTAAGGGAGGAAAATCAATGACACACAAATATGGCGGTAACAAAACAACAAACAGTTGGAAGTGAAAGGTCTGCAATTTTGGCCACTCAAAGTGGAAAAACATGTTATTAACATCAAGGACATTACAGAAGTCCTTGTAAACAATAGAAACTCTCCTGAATGGAAAGATCTGTTGCAAAACAGTGCATTGCCTAACAGTTATATTTCATCTCAAACCAGCTGCCTGTTACCTAGACTAAAAACAGGCAAATTTGTTCATGAAATGATTGGCTACATCAAGGAGGTTCAATCAACAGATGATACTATTGTTTTGTACTGACAGTTTTGTAGCTTGTGTAATCTGGCATCTTGATGTTATTTGCCCAAGAACAGAATCTATCCTACCTAAATTCAGAATGGAAAACTGTCAGGATGTTTATTAATTGGGGAGGTTTGGCCAGAATCGATTAGACACCACCTCCAGCATGACTGGTCTCTCAGGGGAGCGGCTGATTAAACATGGGGTTTACCTGATACAGTAGGCACTGGGGCCTCATTAGTGGGAGTGCTGTTTCACACTGTGAATGCCCCTCCCTGGCACTGTAGGACTGGATAAACTACCATCATTAAAACTACATCAAGACAACTTGCAGTGTCACGGGAATTCTGCCAACCAAGCCAGCTACATCATGTATATGAGTGTTGGAAAAATGGAGTGTCTATAAAGAATATATGGAGTGATTTTTTTGTGAATACCAAATGGGGTAACATGAAGATATAAATCATGATATACATCTACCCATGTACTAATTCATTACAACAAGGACAGATTTCATAATGGTGATGAGAGAAATACTACCCTGACACAGACTGTATATCACATGTATCACACATGATTGTAGTCATAACCATTACCCTAAGTTGAAAGATAAAAAGGGCAGGAAATTGTACTCAAACAAGTGGAAAATATAATTTAGCTGCTCTTGTTTGTAGACACAGTTTATAGCTTTATAACACATGTAGGGTTTTTTTTTGGTGAAAAACAGCTCTTCGATCATAGCAGTCAGGGCATAAGTTAATAACAGGTTGTCCCCAACATGATATCATGAGGCATAATCATCAGGTATAGAAGTGCCTGCGTGTATTTTGCCCTTTAATTAACCCCCTTTTTGATCCATAATTGCAACTTTTACTTAAGAAAGTTTGTGGAAAAACATGCAAAATGACTTACCTCCATGCAGAAGCCTTGCCAGAAGACTAAAATCTTGAAAGTTGTCTAGAAAGAAGTAGTGATCCTCCTGACTGGGGTTGGCTATGGATTTCAACTCAGCTTCAACTGCATCTTCAATTCCCAAGGCGAAGATTTCCACCTGTCTGCCTTGTGTGGCCATGTCCCATCCTGACCACCTCAGATTCGCAATCTCTCGTGCCGGGATAGAAGGTGGCTGTCCGATATTCGAGCGGCCATCGGTCAGAAGAAAGATGGCCTTCTTCGCTGCTGGTCGACTTGTTAGGACAACTTGTTTCGCTCTCTCTAGAGCTGTAGTCGTGGCTGTCCAACCATGAAGAGCCTTGTTCCTCAACCTTTTCTCTATGTCATCATTAAGTTTGCACTTTGTTAACCTGCTAGATGCTGAACCATCACTCAGGTAGTCCACATCCACAGAGACTGTGGTGCTGTATGTGATGATGGAGACCCTGGTGTGTACTGAGTTCACGCTGAACTCGTACAAGAGGTTTTCCACGAACTGCAGCATGGAGTCCCAGGCGCCGTTGTACCATCCTATACTAGCCGACCTGTCCAGTACGAAGATCAAGTCCACCTGTCCATTCCAGGTGTTTAGCAAAGGTGTGACAAACGACGTGTTCAGAGTCTGCGCCATCTGTTCTAGTCTCTGCAGAGAGGTTTGTGTTGGGGCTTGGCCGTGCACGGGATTTAAGAACACCATCGCGGTCAAGAAACAAAATGTTCTGAAGACGGAAAAAGTCGCGCCTGTTTTGGGACGTTGCGTCCTAGTGTCGTCTGTAGCCGCCATCTTGAACCAAGTCCCCCGTCCCAAATAAAGTGTCGTCTGCAATCTCTAACCGATTGTTCTCGCGATCGCTCGGCAGTAACTTATTCTTTCCCGACAGATTTACGACCAACCTCTATGAAAGGTCCTTTTGAGTCCTGAAAAAAATGAACAAGGAGAGTAAAGTGAGCAGTTGTTTGCTGGGCTGTTCAGGACGGAAATGCCAGAGAGGTAACCCCGCGTTGGACGACTTGTTCCCAGCAACACACGCCCATCGTCCCGCGCAGGTACTAACACATAATACACCGTGAAAAATCGTTTATATCCACCGCAAAGACATCTACAGACACCATTCATAACCCTTACCCTCGAATTACCGCCTCGCCTCACAACCGTTGCTACTTCTGAGGAAGAGGTCGCGGAAATAATAAGAGAAATATTTCAGGTGGGCCTTGTGATGACTAAGCCTACCTATCTATATTTGGGCAACACGTAGTCTCGTCATACCTGAGCGGTCTCACCTTCGGCAGTCATTACGTATCACCGGTTCTTGCCCTGTGATTGGACTGTCCCATGCCTCCGGGCCAACTTGCAAGGCTTTGCATTCTTCCTCACTGTTGTCCAAATCCTTTGGGTCAACTGCGATATCACCATTCAATTCTCATGTAAAGCAGGGCAAGTAAGGATTTAATACAACGGGGATGCAACTTTGAAGGGAATAAACGTATTTTTCTGCCGCCTGTATATGTGGCCAAAAGACTTATTTTGTCGAGGGCATCAATGATGTCTATAGATTATCCAAATCTTGACTATTTCGTGTGAATGCATCAACTTTTAAATCAAACGGAATAAAATCAAACTGTATACGGGACGTCCCGCCCAGTGAAGGAGTCACCATTGTTTGCACAAGGCCTGTGATTGGCTAAGATGATCCCGGGAAATACCCCGCGGCGGTTTCCGTGTGACGTCAATACAGGGCGTGTCCTCTAGCAGACAGGTGTCTTTCCATTGGACATATAAGGCAATGGTTCCAGGCAGCTTGCATTGTTTTGCGTACAGGTGTAATTTTGTTTACGGATGTAGCAATCTGTCGTGTGTGATGACCCTAAAAGAAAAGCGTTTTGTTTTAGAGAGCCCTAAACAAAATTTGTTACCTGCGCCTCTTACCAGCGTAATACGATAATTCGCAACGCGCTTTTGCTATGCTGTGATCGGACATGTGCCTCTCACCTACGTAATACTCACTTTTGCTGTATGTCGGGATGGGACTAGAAATAAAATATTGTCGCGTAGCTTTGATGGCTGTAGTCACAGTATTTAGCATCTGAATGAATGTCACATTTGATTGCTAGATAGTCTGTTTTCACAGCCTCATTGTTATCGGTTTAATGCCAGTGTTTGGAGCTTGTTGTTTGTCAAAGCCATTGTAACAATTATGGTCATTTGTGAAAGTTCAATTACAATCGGTGTAGTCTTCGCACAGTTTCTCTAGTCTGAATACACATGGGAACGCCAGTAAATACCGAGTTTGTGTTAACGCCACTGACGAATACTGTTTTCTAGACTACACAATTAATTGTTTAACACCCCGCTGTTAGTCAAAATTCATTTTTAAAACATTTATTCATGTCTTGTATAGTGTCGACAACACTTTACCACAGCTGTTGGAGGAAATAATAGCAATCCAGCGGAGTGTCTGGCGCGGTTACTTTTAGTACATGCATGGTCACAGCTTCACGCACAGACGCCAAGCGTTGTCTACTACACCGTATACCATGCAGCTGTGTGTTACATATGATACACATTGTAAGGTACAAACGTGTATTGGAAAATGGGTATATGGCAGATTGCATTGTTGTTCTGCCAAATATAATCCGAACATTGAAAAAAAGAAAACGAAATCATACACTGAACTTCACTTGACTTGTTTAGTGACTTTGAAACGGTGGACAATCTGCTACAAGTTTCATCAAGAAGGTTAAATACAAGACCCCCTTGGTTCCATCAAGTTTCAAGTTTTATAAACTTTTTCGTGTGATACTCAGTATACATTGTGTGGCTTATTTTTAAGGACATCAGTGGCATTGAAACATACTGTACAGTATTTCATCTATTAATGCAAACTTTCTTTCAAAATACAAATGTCATCGAATACTTTATTTGACATTGATGATTCATATGACAATTAATAAGATTTATATCTACTCATCAACCATAGCTTCTGATGCCAACAATACCATATTCGGGGTATATATTGACTTAAGAATTAGACTTAGTATTGTCTTGGCCGTGAAACTTGCGTTTGACTGTAAGCAATAAGCGTTGATTGAAACTTGAGCTGAGAACTTCATTGCCGGCCATGAATAATAGTGGGCCTAGCCTGTTTTGCAGCTTAAGAAGGGGAGAACTTGAACTGGTCACGGCGCAGACTTAGTTGAAGGGACAGGTATGTTTGTGTAGGTAACCGTATCGGCATGTCTTCACAATGGCGGTCACACGACCATAAAGGACCAATCACGTATCATGTCCAAAGTCTTGTGTCCCAAATTAGACGACACACAATCTAGGGGGTTTACGCCAGTTCCTCTTCCACTGCCGCCCATCTTAGTCCTTGAGATGGGAGTAAAGCAGTGGCAGGACTCCTATTATCAAGGGTTATCGGTGCTTACAACTGGATATCGGCCGAACTTTGAACAAAATGCGTCGTGGAGGCGTCGCTTGCAGTTCGGGAGGACTGGCTAAGACATGCGTCGTTGTTTTCCTACTCTCTGCGGTTGGGAAACTTGGTGAGTTTTCCTTTCATGTGCAGGAAGTTTTGTGTTCGTAGAGTAGCTGATTTGTGGGCGATAACGGCCCAGTAAATGTAACCCCAAACTCACGGGACGTCCGGTAAGGGCTTCTAACTTTTCTGAGGTAAACATGGAAGACATGTCATGAAATGTAAAGTGAGATAATTAAGTCAGGCAGGTATATGTATAGGCGTACGAAAATCCAGATGATTACATGTGTGATCACATTAGAGCATATCTTATCTGTTATTCTAGGAGGCAATGAAAATAGACATACATACTAAGTGCAGAAAACGTAATCACTGTCAAATGTTCCGTGCGTTTCGTACAGATGCAAGTCTGCTGGTGACCAACGGAACTCATATCATCGATTATGACATTTCGACGAACCGACAGACAGTGTTACCTGTGTCGGTAAGTCCACTTTTCCTCACTGTGACATCTGTTCTTATTTATTGCATAGCTTTTCTGTTTGAAACCTGTCAAGAGTTGTTGAGAGTTTGTGTCCATGATGACCTTAAACGTTGAAAAACTCATGCAGTGTGAAGTTGGGGGATGATTTTCATGCAGTAGCAAAATAAGGTGAATGTTTTTTGTACCCATATAGAACGTGACTGTGCAATCTGACAGTCGTGTCTACATCATCATGGATACGCCATGTACATAGTTACATAAACTGTGCTTAATGTGTGTCCCTATATAACATTGTAGTACTCTGTCAGTTTGCGTGTGGACTTTTTTGTGGAGTTTGCTGTGTCAAAAAAAGAAAAGAAAAAGGGTTTTCGAATTCTTACAGTCTCGTAAGATCATGATTGTTTTCGGCATTATCTTTCCATCATTATTGCACTCTGAAGGACTATTATTCAATGTATACACGTGTCAATGTTATTACTTTTCCACTCGTGCTTTAGCTCAGCGGGTGGAATTGATTTATTACCTCTAGCTAGCTACTTAATAGAGTAGGAGGATTGTAGCAAAACTTTCACACGCTGGGTGTGTACTGGGTTTATTGCAAGCTTTTGAGACAAGGCCCCGTGGTAAAAACGGACGATATTTTCCCTCAGGAACCCGGTGGTATCGTCGCTCTTGCCGTTGACGTTGGCGGACAGCGTCTGTACTACACAAACGCCGAAACAGGCGGGATAGTTCGATGTGGGCTCGACGGTTCTAACCAGCACGCCGTCGTGAACACAGGTAGGGGGATCATTTCCTTGAAAATATCAGGTTACAACATCAACATACACGCGACGGGGCTATTCAGCCTGCCTGGGTAGTGTAAATATATGGCCTTTTCTGCGCACCTGGTAAACAATGAGTTCACAGATCTGCGCATGTGTGATTTCCTTGAAGAGACGTACGGGTACGTAGAATAAGTAGAGGTCGTCAGGGTCATGACATTGCATAGATGCTAATCAAGTGGGGAAATAAGATATAAGCGCAGACTGGGACACTGTGCTCTCTGCAGATCTTACGCAATCTATTGCGCAAGGAACCCCCCTGTGTCACTGTGGGAGTCCCCGTCTGGGCTGTTTTCCAGCCGGTAACCTCCGTAAACATGTGCAATAATAGTAAAATACAAAATAACGATGCGCAGCACTTTTTGTCTTTTAACCTTGCGCCCTAGATCAATGTTGATCTGTCTGAAGGGTCCGACCGAGGTGTTTATTAAACTCTTCATCTTGTGTATCGTTTTTATTGTTTTGTCAATAAAGATTATGTCAAACACAAGTACATGTATCAGAAGTCAAATTGAAGGAAAACAGATGCATGATAGGAGTCTTACACTAGTTACAGACTTAGAAAAATCATACCGGCCTAAAATCACATCAGGCTGCATCCAAGAACGTAATAGTTTTACGTGTTTTTAACTTCTATTTATATATTATTTTTACATACTAGTAATATTCATGTTATGTTGTGGAGATCTCAATATATATTTAAGATTTTGATGGCTTTAGACGATTCAAATCCCCAATAAAGTTGCCATGACTGCAATGTATGTTACGTTAGTTTATATGTCCACAAAATCCGATGCTAATATATCGCTCCCCAGACGTGACCCAGCCCACCGGTATCGCTTATGACTGGGTGTCAGGGCTGGTGTACTGGACTGATGAAGGGCGGGGTACAGTGGAGGTTGCCCAGGGCGACGGCTCCAACAGGAAGACCCTCATCTCGGGACAACTGTTCCCCAGAGGGATTGCCGTGGACCCTATCTCTGGGTACGGTCGTATTTGTTAAGGGGACATCACAGCACGCAGAATTACATTCTATTAAAAGATGCTAAATCAGTTGCTTAATAACTTCTGATTGACGACTTTGAAGGTTCACCAGCTGAAAACAACACACACGAGCCTCGTATATTGCTTTGTCATTCTTTTCACAAATAACTATATTAATAGTACATTAGTAAGATAGGTAGATTCAAGAAATGATACTGTTCGAAGATTCAAAATCCGTAGCGAACAATAATGGTGTAACGTTAACGTTATGCGTCAAGTTTTAGTTTTGAGTGTGTCAGGTGCGTCATCTAGCGGTTCAGGATAGTGCTTCAGAAGCTTAAACTGCGCTACTATTTTGTGTTACCCGAGAGTGGATTTTGGTAAAAAGACCCTTCGTCTTTTATATGATTTCCCTTCAGATACCTGTTCTGGGGGAACCAAGGGGACTTCACCATCAGGCGAGCACGGCTAGACGGCTCCGATGTTGAGACCCTACACAACACGGGGCTGGTCTGGCCTAACGAACTGGTTGTGGACTTTCCGAACAGGTAAGAAAGCCCCTCCCCCAATGGCCATCCCCAATAGATAAAACACACACGTTTTAATAAGCATATGTTACAGTTAACAGTAACGCTAAAACACTGGCACTTACCCTTCCGACATCAATGTCTGTTCGCAGAAGGAAAGGTCGATGCAGCAACAGTTGACCAGTTGTGGTGCTCAATTCTACACCCAGATTTTATTCATCCGTTGCTTTCTCATTTACACTACGTTACCAGTGAGAAATGTGTTGTATTGACCGCCTATACCCGTAGAGGGATATCACAAACTGTTTTGGTAATGGATACGTTATGGTGACGGCCATGTATGGGTTTCAATGGCACGCCTTACTGTAGCTTTGAGACTAGCCCAGGGGTTGAATTTCAGCATTGCTCAGCTGGTATGACCTCTCTCTGATTCATAAAATCACTTGTTGTTATGTGTATGAAAATAGTTGCAAAATTTCCTTTTTATTGGTATCAGGACAGAAGTTAATTTAATATTATTGGTCATTTGTGACAAATCAAATTGTCTTACATGTAACGCTGTCCGTCTATTTATACCTTACTACAACAGACCACACCTACTACGGCAGTACCAGACTGAGTATACTGTACTTCACATGAATTTTGCAAGGTGGCAGTCTTGATCTGGCTTTCTCTTGGAGCACAAGTAGTGGGTTACTCTATATGCATGTTTTTTTCTGTGTGAAAAAAATTAAAATGCATGCTTCCAGGAGTTAGGTTCTCCCCTGGATCCCAGATAGACACTTAGTTGAAACAACACAACACAACAATGCAAACTATCTTAACACAGCAAATCCTATTTCCTACAGTCGCCTGTACTGGATTGAAGGCTACTTCGGTTACATCGGGTCCAGTGCCTTGGATGGGACAGACCGGACGATTGTCGCTAACGTCTCCTCTGGCTACGTGCTGTTTGGACTGGCCCTGCAGGATGACACACTGTACTACACATCCTGGGAGGGCAAGCTTTTCTCTGTGGACCAGAACTCTGGAGAACAGAGTGAGGTCATGGAGGCAGAGGGAGAACAGCTGCTTGGGCTTGTGTCTGTGCATCCTAGCAGGCAGCCAGCAGGTACATCTCAAGAATTTGTGTGTCTTCACCCAACATTTTAAGTATGACAGGGGAGAGTTTGAAGATGAGAATTCTCTGTGAAAAATGTGTAAACCTGAATTTTTACCATAAAAATTATCATCCTCTCTAACTAGGGAGTAACCCATGCCAGACTGACAATGGGGACTGCAGCCATCTGTGTCTTCCTACTGCTCCTGACTCTAGGATCTGTACGTGTCCAGATGATGGGGGACTGGCCATCGGGAAGGACAACAAGACTTGTGAAGGTAGATACAACTATCATTGTCATCCAAAACGTTTATCATTGATATCGTAATAACCCTACAATTTCACTTGATGTGTTCAGAGCAGTCATTTGATTCAAAAGTTTTCAGAAGATTGCACCCTCATTGTAATACTGGTAGTAGCCTGGTAGTCTTGTATGCCTTTCTTTTTATTATAATCGTCTGTTGAATTTTTCCACCCACAGAGCCAGGCCAGTTCCTGCTGTATGCTAAGGCAGATGAAGGACAGATCATGATGTTGACCGTGGACCTGAGCATGGCGGCCAGGCCTGTCCTGTTGGACCAGGGTGTGCGACCGGTGGCTGTGGCCTATGATCCCATAGAACAGGTGACCTCTTCTCATTCACATTAAAGTGTCTTCTTTGTAAAGTTCTAGACTGAGTTGAAGTTTTCTTGCATGTTTCAATAGCTCAAATGTCAAGTCCCATTTCCATTACTTACATGAAAATGTATATTTGCATTGCTGAAGTGTGGTGAGGTGAGGAGAAGTGAAAGTCCTTCAAGCACTTTAAAGTTTGCCTTTTTACATCTGTTTGTTTATTTGTCTAAGTGTATTTGTAATAAATTAAACATCTAACAAATATCTTTATTTCCACCCATACAGAGAGTGTACTGGAGTGATGTGGTCACCCACACTATCAACAGGGTCTTCCTGAATGGAACAGGCTCTGAGGCCTTCATGGATGGCACAAATGGGATCGCATCAGTAGAAGGTATCATAAGAAATTGCTTCAAATGTCTTTTTACATTTCCTGAATCAAAAATGCCTGAATCACACAATTCCATGATGCAGAAGACAGCTAGTATCCAAATAATGCTAAATAAATGAAGTTCTGGGTAGTTGTTTTAATTGTAATTATATAATGAGTTACTAACTTATAAGTTTTCATTGCGTTCACCAGGCCTGGCTGTTGACTGGCAGAATCGGCGGCTGTATTTCTCCAACCTGGGTCTGCACTACACAGGTGTGAGCTGGGGGAGGGTGGAGATGGTCGGACTGGACAGGACTGGACACAGACGACTGCTGGAGGGACGTGTAGGGAAGCCGAGATCCATAGTACTGGACATGCAGGCCAGGTCTGTTCGCAGAACAAGCCTTTATTTAAATAGTTGCTTGAGTGATGGATGGTCTAAAGTCTTAAAGTCAATCAAAAGAAGATGACAGCTACAGGGGTGTTACAAATTAAAGTGAATGGGAATAGAGAAATAAAGGACAAATTGAAGATAGCATTCTAAGCAAATATTATTGAATTGTCAAACTGCATGGGATATTGAACCAAAAGATCTACTACTTGTAGTTTTGATTTTATACACAATTTTACTTATGATAGAATACTAGAAAGCCATAAATTTTGCTAAGGTTGTCTTGCCTTTTTTTCAGACACATGTACATCACAGATTGGGGTGAAGAACCCAAAATTCTGAGAGCTGACCTGGATGGCAGAGATCCCCAGACCATCATGTCATCAGAGATGGAGAACCCCAATGGTCTGGCCATCAGTGATGGGAAGCTGTACTGGGTGGACTCACATGTCAAAAGTGGGGTGAACAGCACAGGGACCCTGGAACAGGCTGAACTGGATGGGACCAACAGGGAACAACTCTTGCAGGATGTACCGTTTCATGTAAGTGATATGTCATGATACATGTACACTGGTACACGTCTATAATGTTAGCAGATTTATACAAGCTGAACTATTATGATGCAATGTTCACTTTTACTGTCTTCATGTTTGTAAATTTTATGTGCCAAATTAATGCATCTGTCATAGCCATATTAGTAATGTTTCAGCAATGAATTATGGCTTCCATATTGCAGTCAAAAGTGTGTACTGTGTGAGTGAGTTCATAAGACTACTACATGTAACAGTAACTGTAACAGTTGTAAGATTCACACCGGAAAACTTAGAACTTGGGTCTGAATGCATGATATCTATAAAAGTATTCAAGTAGATGATGATACTTTTGATATAATATAATATGATATGTAATGTCTTCTGTTTTGTTGTTGCAGGTCCCATTTGGCCTGGCTGTGCAGGGCAGCACCGTGTACTGGACAGCCTGGGGACAGGATGGGACAGGCGCTGTCTTCCAGGGGAACAGTGGAACTGGAGACCACCGTGTGGTGGTTGGGGGACTGGGAGACCCCATGGCTGTCACTATCTGTAACAAGTCATACGCTACTCCTGAGGGTGAGTGGCAATAGATTTACATCTTAAATATCTTCAATATGAAATTTGTAATCATAGGTCTGTTTATCGAGACACAACTTTCTATTCAAACCCAGAGACACATACAGAGCTGAGGGCTTGACATTCGAATTCATTTTTAGGAATTCTAAAATGCACTTCTGCACCAAACCTTACATTTTTCTATACATGTAAATTGGGTGCACAAAAATTTCTGAGTGCACCATGTCAAATATTCTTAAACAGCAAAGTTTTCTGACACTTAAATGTGAATACACAACACTGTGTTATAACACAATTGCATTATCATGTTATACATGTAACATAATCACATTACAAGTGGAAAGTACTTTTTGATTTTTTAACTTATTTATTGGTAGCTTGCTGAATGCATTGAAATTCTATCACTTACATATGGTGATAAATGATTGTCTTTCTCTTGTAGAGCCCAACCCTTGTGCAGGACATGACTGTAGCCACATCTGTGTCCCCACTGCTGGGTCCTACAGATGTATGTGCCCCAATACTGGAGGTCTAGGGCTTGGAAGTGATGGCAAGTCTTGTGTCGGTAAGTTTACTATCAAGGAAAAGATATAGTTACGATAACCATAACTAACATACAGACTAATTCTGACCTGTGGCAAGTTGAAATGTGCAAATAGTCCGCTGTGTTAGGCCAAGCCTCTTTTGAATGATATCATCCCAGGGTAGACTACATTGCATGGGCCACATATAGCCTGTGGCTTTGATGTTATGCAATATCATCATACTTTGGATAGGTCATTGATTTTTTTAAAGGCAAAAATATGTATTATTTGTGATCTTTGCAACAATAATTTTACAGTATAGGGTATTACGTTAACAGTACATGTAGGTAGGATACCTTGAAGATACCTTGAAGAATCCTAGATGAATTATAGGCATTATAATGCCTGTTTATCACCCTCCTCAGCTCAGTCCTTAGTACGTCTTCTGTTCCCAATGCTGGTCTAGCATCGTTTTAAACGTATTCACAGACTCAGCCTAAACCACTTGTTCTTGCAAAGCATGCCAACTGTTAACTGTTCTAACCGCAAAAGACATTTGGTGAACCACAGTTTTTGCCAGGGGAACTAACTGTCAGTTTATGGCAGTGACCTCTAATACTATTGTCTATGATAAATATGGCAATGATGTACACTGATCTCTCTCCCTCCAGAGCCACAGCAGTTCCTGCTCGTTGCTGATTTGACAGAGATCCGCATGGTTCCGTTGGACACCCCTGACAGGTATCCCTACCCCATCATACAAGTCCACGACCTCTACAGCAACATCGCAGCAGTCACCTACGACCCTGAGACAAAAATGGTATACTTCAGTGACGTGGGATGTCGGTCCATCCTGAGGGCCTATCTGAATGGGACAGGGCTGCAGGTTTGTTTGTTGTTGTTTGTTTGTTTATAAACATGTAATCAAAGTGATAAACATAAAATAACAAAAGATGTTATGTCTGGAGAAGATAAAAAGCCGTTATGGCCTGTCCGGGATCTTCTCCTAACAACATTAATTGTATGGCACATTACTATAACAGTAATTGATTAAATATTACTTATGATATTTAACAACATATGATAATTATTATTAATATTAGATATAAAGAACAAATAATTATTAAGTAACCATAATTAATATTGACATTGTAACACCTTACCAGGTGGTCCACAGAGACACAGGTGTATCAGACGGGATGACCATTGACCCCATGGACAGGTACCTGTACTGGACAGATGGAGAGAGGGGGACCATTGAGAGGATGGCACTCAATGGCAGTGAGGAGGACACTCATGAAGTGGTGCTACAGGGGCTGGATAGGCCCAGAGCAATTGTGGTGATCTCAGACACTAAGTAAGCATACTTACAACACCTGATGGTTTTGTTTCAATTTTCTCCATCATTGGAATTATATGTTGTATTGAACCTCTGAGTGGCACACAATAAAGAACACTGTAGTTCTTGATGTTAAATATTGTGGTCACCAGTACAGTCAGGGCCTGCCTCAGTGACCACCATGAAGGACAAAAAGTTCTTGAATGATTTCATGTAATATGTACCTCACCAGCTTTAAATCTAGAAGAATGATGATGATGATTATGATGATACAGTCATATATCATTGACACCTCCCATTTGTCTGCCATCTCTTATGTTTAGCTACATGTACTGGACTGACTGGGGTGAGAGTCCATCAGTGAAGCGGGCATCCATGGAGGTGAATGCTACAGATGTACAGAACCTGGTGGAAGGTGACCTGTCCTGGCCAAACGGACTTGTTGTTGACAGCAATGAGGGCAAACTGTACATCGGGGATGGCAACAATACCAAGATAGAAGCAGCATTGTTAGATGGTAAGTTCAAAATATGCCAAGCAAAATGCATACTATATTGGGTTGGTTTGTATTCATGAGAATCATTGTGTAAGAGGCATTGTATGGACTCCACCGTCTTAAACTTTGCGTCATTCTTCTTATGCATTTTTTTCTGCAGTTGGAAACAAGGTCAGAAGTAGGTGCCTAAAGCACTTTTTCTAGAATTTTTCTAGAATTTTTCTATTCTGACATGCATGCTTCTATTTTTTTTCTTTCTAAGGCTCAGACCGTCAGTTGATTTTGGATGAGAGCAGTGGCCATGTGTACGGGTTGGCTAAGATTGGGGATGTCCTGTTGTGGAGTGACTGGGCAGGACAAAGTGTCAAGATGATGACTCTAGGCAGTGATGAAATACAGGTTCTCACAGATGGACTCATGAGGCCAAGTGAATTACATTCCTCTAACATCACAGATGGCCTTCTGACACCTACAACTCATGTCTCCACCACTACAACTGCAGCTACAACACTTGCCATTACAACAACACAAGTGATAACTCCAGTCCCAACTACAACACTTACAACACCTGTCATTACAACAAGAGTAACAACTCCAGTCCCAACTACAACAGTTACAACACCTGTCATTACAGCAGAAGTAACAACTCCAGCCCCAATTACAACAACTACAACATCTGTAATTACAACAGAAGTAACAACTACAGTTCCAACTACAACAGCTACAACACCTGTAATTACAACAGAAGTGACAACTCCAGTCCCAACAACAGCTACAACACCTGTAATTACAACAGAAGTGACAACTCCAGTCCCAACTACAACAGCTACAACACCTGTAATTACAACAGAAGTGACAACTCCAGTCCCAACAACAACAGCTACAACACCTGTAATTACAACAGAAGTGACAACTCCAGTCACAACAACAACAGCTACAACACCTGTAATTACAACAGAAGTAACAACTCCAGTCCCAACTACAACAACAGCTACAACACCTGTAATTACAACAGAAGTAACAACTCCAGCCCCAACTACAACAGCTACAACACCTGTAATTACAACAGATGTAACAACTCCAGTCCCAACAACAACAACAACAGCTACAACACCTGTAATTACAACAGAAGTAACAACTACAGTCCTAACTACAACAACAGCTACAACACCTGTCATTACAACAGAAGGGACAACTCCAGTCCAAACTACAACAGCTACAACACCTGTAATTACAACAGAAGTAACAACTACAGTCTCAGCTAGATGCAAAAATCCAGGTAGGTGTTAACTGTATCTATCTTCATCTGTTGATAATAGTTTGTATATAATTTATTTTACTGAATACCATGAAACAAGTCTATGATGTAATTTTAATTAACTATCTGTATACTGAATAGTTGTAAACATGCCGTAGCTGGAAATTGTCACATAAATGTGTCATTTATGATTATACTGTCAAATGATCATTCACTCATTCATTCCATTCATTCCATTCATTCCATTCATTTATTCATTCATTCATTCACGATTATATATGACATTATTACGTACAAGCACCCTATTATCATCATTAAGCAATCAAATGGGGTGGTGGTGGCTAAATTTGAACATTCCTGATTGAGAGCAGATTTTTATACTCGTCTCATCATTCATATGTATATTGTGTTTGTTACCATAGAGTCCATTCACACAGCTTTTATTTGCATTCAAAATATATTTATCTAACATAATAGTAAACTAGAGGTCGGAGATCTCATGTCTTCGTCAGAGGTACATCGTTCTAGAGAAATTAACATGCGTATTCTTCACTCTTTTTAATAATCAATTTGGTCTAAAGAACAAATTTAAAAAAAGACTCTCTGTACTATTTTTATGGTACAGAACACCCTGAAACGGTTTGCCGCAGATTATACAGATGCGTCGTCACCCGTGTTAGCCCCCCCCCCTACGTTATTTGAGTTTGGACTGTTACTGAAAAAAAAACGTTCAAGAAATTCTTACTGTGTTGAAAGTGTCACGACAGCGCCGCAAAATATAATAAGAGTAGATGTTATAAAGGAAAGAATCAGAACAGGGTGACTACTGCTGTTTTGTTAATTTGTCTTTATGACAAATAGAAGACTTGTTTCTTGTGTTCTTTGTGTCCTAACATTTGTACTTCTACGGTTAGTATATTCCAAATCTAGGCATCTCGTTTTTCGGCCCTTCGTGTTTTTATTGCGCGCTTGCCTTAAATTTAAGGTAATTAGATTTAAGGTCTCCAGTGGACGTCATCCATAGCAATTACTTGGTGTGGCCGTAGAAAATAACCTGACATATGTCCAACCTATCCTCCCCCTGCTGAAGTTATAGTACAATCCCTCAATGTAACGTCATTTGATCCCATCCCATTATGGGGTTCCCCAGCTATATCCAGCTGTCGGCTGTCTCCAAGCAGATGTAGGTGGGGATTTCTAAACACAAAAGGTCCTATTACGGGGACATAACGACCTCCACGACTCTCATCTTTGAACTCAATCTTGGACACCACCACAGTAACATGCCTATCAAATTTCATTAACTTCCATCTACACATACAAAAGTTATCCTGCTCACAAGAAAAATTAACAAAATGCCCCCTGTAGTCACAACGAAACCCCCCACAAAGCTCAGTAACGAACTTAACCTTGGTCCCGACAATAGTAAGCACCACACCAAGAATTATAATCAACATTTTACAAATACTTGAGTTATCTTGCTAACAAGCCACAAACACAAAAGGTGCACTAACGTGACGCACGGACCCCCCACGAAGCCGAAACTTGTACTTGACTTCGGCCTCAACAGCGGTAATCTGCCTGCCAAAAATCATGGACGTCGAATCATGCCTTCCAGAGTTATATTGCAAAATCCGCAGTTCCCCACACTCCGGCGAGACAATTTCATAGTCCTTCTGATGAAGACAATTATGCTGTTAACAATGTGGTATTTTGCTTTTCAGGGGAGGAATATCCTTGTTTTACAGTCTGCAAGAGTGAGACAAGCATCAAGAAAACACTTCCCAGTGACAGCTCATCCATTGTAGTTGATTTCAGTCAACATGTCACGGCTGTCGATGAAAATGGACTCCAAACTGTTCCAATTAGTGATGATTATGAGTTTCCAGAGAGCAGTTTGGATGCTTTGGATGGTGATTTCTTGAGCAAAACCTACACATTTAATGCAATATTCACAATAGACGGATTGCCGGACAGATTCTGTTCAATCTCCATTCATCTAACAGGTTTGAAACAGATTTCAATTCTTTCTGTT